GACTCGAAGGTAAAAATAGGTCTCAAGTAAGTAATTTTTTCGATTTGACCACACAGAGACAAAAAATAAAACACACTAAATTCACCTGTTGTTTGATCAAGATCATAACTCAAAAGTTGTCATTTATTAAAATTTTTGAAGACATGAGGCACAAAGGAAGGATATCTATAGTAAAAGAAAAAGGTTGTAGGCTGTTCTTAATCCTGTCTTTACCAGCATGGAAAGCCCATTCTGTCGACAGAGTTCTTGTTTCTGGTTTATAGGGCGACACAGAACGTACGATATACCTCAAGAGTAGGYCCTYGGTACGAGAATCTATTCAAATTTCTTTTAGATTTCAGAAGCTTTTAAGGGCAAATCAGTTATTTGATGTCAAATGTAAAACCTACGTGTTTTATACAACACAAGCTATCAGCTTAAATTAAGAAAATTGGAAGGTATTCAGAACTAGACGCTCTTAYAGAGCTCACTAGGGTTGCAACTTAGAGCAGTTACTTGATGAATGTCGTCACACTCTGTGCAGTATTGACTTCAGTTTCTTTCACAAGGTTTGATCAGCTTTTATTGATCGAACTGCAGTCAATTTAAAAGAGGTTTAAGTATTTTTTTTTTTCATAGTCACTAGATAGATGGTGTCGCGTGCAATGTCACCATGACAACAACTGAACGACTCTGTGCCATAAGTTCATAACTATATGAACTAGACGATCATGGATCGCTTACGTGGGCTTCCTGTGACAATGGTGTTTCATTTTCACAAGATAGTCTTTGTTTGTAATAAGTCAAGACAGAATTAAGTTAATATGTTATCAATTTATTACATCATAATTTTTTACCGAACTGAACCTCTAAGTAAATTCTTTGGATACCATGTCTTTTTTCTCAGTTTTCCAAAATAACTAGCTCGACTTTACGCTCAAGAGCGTCTATATTATTCAAAATATCTGATAGGTCATATAGGTCACATAAACAATAGAAACGGTACAGTCTTGGCAGTATAACTTTGAATAATATTTTGATCATTTGAATCATGTATCTGTATCTTGTGTTTCTGTTCTTTTTTATTTGGTGTTTTTCATTAATTTGTAAATCTGGTGTTCTGTGCCATCATAAAGGTGTACCTTAGCCTTCTAATGACAGTTCATATTTTTGGATTTGTCTAAGTTTTTCAAGTTAAACAATCATCAAAACAAACAATAGAGAATTAAAATGCTTCATACACAATATAGATTTTGTATACAGAGTTCAGTAAAGCTCACACGTGCAGTTTTCCGAACTTCAAACACATCGTTAGTTTAGAAAATGGCATCAATATTTTTCAGATGAGGTTTGATATGCTTT